TTCGAGACCCGCCTGGGCAACTTGGTGAGACCTCATCTCTACAATAAATCAAAAACTAGCCAGGGGAGGTAGCGCACACCTGTAGTTCCAGCTACTTGGAAGGCTGAGGTGGAAGGACCGCCGGAGCCCAGCAGATCAAGGCTGCGGTGGCCAGGAGTGGCCACTGCACTCCAGTCTGGGCAACAGAGTGAGACTCCAACTCAAAAAAAAAAAAAAAAAAGAAAAAAAGCCAGGCTCGGTGGCTCAGCCTGTAATCCTGTGCCTTTGGGAGACTGAGGAGAGTAGATTGCCCGAGCCCGTGGGTCCGAGACCCGCCTGGGCAGGCAAGACCTCATCTCTACAATAAAATCAAAAAATTATCCAGGCGTGGTAGTGAGCGACTGTAATTCTGGCTACTCGGAAGGCTGAGGTGGAAGGATCGCTGGAGCCCAGCAGGTCGAGGCTGCGGTGGCCAGGAGCGGCCACTGCACTCCAGTCTGGGCGGCAGAGTGAGACTCCAACTTAAAAAAAAAAAAGTATTGTTTTCTTAATTTCATGTTTGCAGTTTATTGCTAAGTATATAAAAATACTATTGATCTTTTAATATTGAATTGTATCTTGCAATCTTGCTGAAATCATTTGTTTTTTAGTGAATTCCTTAGAATTTCCTCTCACCTCTGCCTCCCAAAGTGCTAGGATTACAGGTGTGAGCCACCACGCCTGGCCTGTTTTTTTCTTTTTTGAGTAAGGTTTCCTTCTGTCCCTCAGCTGCAGTGGGGTAATCATAGCTCACTGCACCTTCAAATTCCTGGTCTCAAGCAATTCTCTTGAATCAGCCTCCTGAGAGAATAGGACTACAAGTGTGTCACCATGCCAATTAAAAATTTTTTTTCTGAGGCGGAAGGATCGCCAGAGCCCAGCAGGTCAAGGCTGTGGTGGCCAGAAGCGTGCCATTGCACTCCAGTCTGGGCGACAGAGTGAGACTCCAACTCAAAAAAAATTTTTTTTTTGTAGAGATGGGATCTCGCTATTTTTGCCCAGACTGGTCTTAAACTCCTGGCCTCAAGTGATCCTCCTGCCTTGGCCTTCCAAAGTGCTGAGATTCAGGTATGAGCCACTGTGTCCGGGCATGTTTGTTTGTTTGTTTTTGAGTCAGAGTGTTACTCTGTCATCCAGGCTGGAGTGCAGTGGCACGCTCACGGTCACTGCAACCTCGACCTGCTGGGCCCAGGTGTATGCTACATGCCCGGCTGATTTTTTGATTTATTGTAGAGATGAGGTCTCACCAAGTTGCCCTGGCTGGTAATCCTCTTGCCTCAGCCTCCCAAAGTGCTGGGATTACAGGCTTGAGCCATCACACCTGGCTTCAGCATGCTCGTTTTTTTTTTGAATTGGAGTCAAAACTCCAACTGTCACCCAGACTAGAGTGCAGTGGCCGCTCCCGGCCACCACAGCGTTGAACTGCTGGGCTCCAGCGATCCTTCCGCCTCAGCCTTCCAAGTAGCCAGTATTACAGGCATGAGCTACCACGCCTGGCTGATTTTTTGATTTATTGTAGAGATGAGGTCTCGCCAAGTTGCCCAGGCAGTTTCGAACCCGCGGCCTCCGGCAATCCACTCACCTCAGCCTCCCAAAGGCGCGGGATTACAGGCTGAGCCACCGAGCCCGGCTAGCGTGTTTTTTTTTTTTTAACAAATTATGGTAACATACACGTACACTCTGTTTTCTTAACCATTAAGTGTATAGTTCAGTAGCATTAAGTACATATACATTGTTTTACAACAAATCTAAGTTTTTATAGTTTTAGCTCCAATGTTTAGGGGTTTTTAAAATCAATTTTGAGTTAATTTTTGTATATGGTATAAGGCAAAGGTCCAACTTCATTCTTTTGCATGTGGATATCTGGTTTTCCCAGCACCATCTGATAACAAGTGGTGTTTTTCTAGGTGATGAAATGTTCTAAAATTGATTGTGGTGATTGATGTGGATATCTGTGAGTATACTAAGAAACCCATTCAATTTTGCACTTTAAGTAGCAAATCTATAAGTGAATTATATTTAAATAAAGCTAGCTTAAAAAAAAAGAAAAAAGTGAAGAAAAAAAAAAACAACCCACAGATTGCTGCTCTGGGTTTCTGACTTAGTAGGTTTGGGGTAAGGCTGACACTGCTATACTTTGATCTATACTTTGAGAAACACTTCATTAGCTCTCATAATTGATAGTTTCCTGAGGAACCTCAAAATAGTTTTCTTTTGGCTGGCATATGCCTTTTGTGGCTCACACCTACAATCCCAGCACTTGAGCTTAGGCATTTGAGACCAGCCTGGGCAACATAGTGAGATCTAGTCTGTACATTAAAAAAAATAAGAAAAAAGTTAGCCAGATTTGGTGGTCTGCGCCTGTAGTTCCAAGTACTTGGGGAACTGAGATGGGAGGATCACTTGAGTCCAGGAGGTTGAGGTTATAATGAGCAGGGATCACACCACTGCATTCTCACCTGGGCAACAGCGAGAGAGACCCATTCTCAAAAAAATTTTTTTTACTGTACTTCAGAGACAGAGGGATAACTCTGGTTTGTACTTGGTTCTTATGTTGAGGTCCTGACATCTTTTACTCTTATTTTACTTTTCAAATGGTGTGTGTATCTAGAGGGAGGTTTCTTTGGTGTATCTTCAAAGGTCTACTGTATACATGCTAAAATAATCTTCATTTCATAAAAAAACACTACTTACAAAATATTTTAACTAACAAGGTTATTTTAATAGTGCAAAAAAAAATCTGCTTTCCAACCTGTGAAAAACTTCCACAAAATTTTATAAAAATAGCCAATACTTTGAACAAACAAAAGAACAAATAGCTAGGTTAACATTACAATTATGTACTCCAAGTATGGTTCTCCAAAGAAAGCAGACATCAACATTACAAGCCGGATCATTCTGGGACCTGGATGTTCCACGTTACTAAAATGTATAAAACAAAACTCCTAGTTTTCAGACCAACAGAAAACAACTCCAATAAGAAAGCTAATTTAAGTGTCATGGGAAATAGAGTATATTGATGACTTCAAAAGTTTTTCAAGGAGTTTACATAAATAGGGAACATCTACATCTTGATTTTTATAACAAATGATTCTTGTATTGAATTTTGAAGCTTAAAAGACCATGTACTCTTTGGACATATAGCTCAGAAGCAAAAACTAGTCAAGAGGAAAGAACATTCATGGGACCCTTAGGACTTTAACCTGATCCTAAAGTATAAAGAAAAATTTTAAGACAAATTAGTTTAAAAGTGCAAATATACTTTAGTTTATAAACAATTGTCATGATTAGAATTTGAGGTTTATTTTTATTTTTTTGAGTTGGAGTCTCACTCTGTCGCCCAGGTTGGAGTGCGGTGGCACGCTCATGACCACTGCAGTTTCAACCTGCTGGGCTTAGGTGATCCTTCTACCTCAGCCTTCCAAATAGTTGGAACTACAGATGCATGCCACCACATCCAGCTAATTTTTCTGACTTATTGCAGAGACAGGGTTTCACCAAATTGCCCAGGCTGGTCTCGAACACCTGGGCTCAGGCAATCCTCTCACCTCGGCCTCCCAAAGTGCTGGGATTATAAGGTGAGCTACCACGCCCGGCCTTGACTGAGGTTTGAGTAAAAATCTTTTCTTTTTTGAGACAGAGTCTCATTCTGTCGCCCAGGCAGTGGCTCTCACCACAGCTTCAACCTTCTGGACTCAGGTGATTCTTTCATCTCAGCCTCTGGAGTAGCTCGGGCTACTGGTGTGTGCCAACATGCCCAGTTAATTTTTTTTTTATTTTTGTAGAGATGGGGTCTCGCTATATTGCCTAGGCTGGTCTCAAACTCCTGGGTTCTAGCAATCCTCCTTCCTTAGCCTCCCAAAGTGCTAAAATTACAGGCGTGAGCCACCACGCCAGCCAAAGTTTTTTCATATTTGTCTACCTCCTAGATAATATTGGTCATTTAATAATCAATGATTTAGTTAATTTAATAATCAATAGTCATTTATAATTACTTTTGTGTATAAGAAGGGTATATCTTCAGGATCCGATCTTTTTTTTTTTGAGTTGGAGTCTCACTCCGTCGTCCAGGCTAGAGTACAGTGGCACATTCACAACACCACCCCACAGTGTTGACCCACTAGGCTCCAATGATCCTTCCACCTCAGCCTTCCAAGGATCTGATCTTATTGCAAATTTATTGCTGCCAGAAATCGATAAAACTAGTGTTTTGGATGTGATAAATCTTTGAAGTGTCATTATTTAAATATAACGAAGACTGAGAATTCTGCTGGAAAGCATTTTTCAGAAAGAAGGAAACTGCCTAGGCAGAAAAGTATCTCTCTATCCATCTCTGAATTTTTATATACATTTTACTACATCATAAACACAAAAACATCATTAATATATTTACATATATGTGCTAGACCAAAATGAATTAACTTACCCTAGTAAAACTGTATTTATTAAGAAAACACTAATGGACACTATAGATAAAAGGCAAGACCCTCAAGAAAAGATGGCGACCATTCCAATAGCTGGGTGCTATTGTTTTCTCTTAATAGCATTTTTGGAATGCAGAAAAAGCAGGATGAATAGTTTGTAGACAGACATATCTCTATGCTAGAATTATTTGCTAAGCAGAAGCTAGGTTACCTAAAAATCATAGCTCTAGATACAGGAAAATGGCTCATGTTTTTGTCAGTGGTAACAGTTCCTCTTATACTTAAAATTTACTCCTTAGGGCTTATACTAAAGCAGAAAGCACCACTTTAGTTAAGGGAAATTTTCCCTAAGTGTCCTGTTACTTAAACATTTGGAATAAAGTTGCACAAGTTGACAGTAGGCTATTTGAGGCCTTTCATCATTCCTGACTGTAGAGATTTAAAAACTAACCATATAAATTAACTATAACATCATCAGAAGAAATTTTACTAGGCTTCTATAACCTAAACACAGGAAATCCTGACATAACATTATTGAGTACATTCTGCTTGGCTATTTCAGCTGGGTCCACGGGTCTGGTAGTAGACATGGCAGTCCTGAAACAGATCTTCATAAATTTGCTTGACAACATTCTTCAGGTAATTGTTCTCCAGTGGCACTTTAGATAGAATGGAAGCAATTTCATCTTGGCTGGAAAGAACAAAAGGTTAATTAATTTTTCTGTAATCTTAAACTTGTCTCCAATTTAGTAGAATTTATGTTCTTGAGTATAGTTAGTCTGTCAGTTTTCTAGGACGCACAAAAGGGCATTCTGGGTAATAACTAGACTGTCTAGTTGGAAATGGGATTCCAAAACAAGGCCTAAACCAATTCTGTAAGTAAATATAAAGTATCTTGATCTAGTTCCTTTCTCTGTCTATAAAAAATTTTTTTTTTGAGTTGGAGTCTCACTCTGTTGCCCAGGCTGGAGGGCAGTGGCATGCTCATGGCCATCTCAGCCTCAAACTGCTGGGCTCAGGCGATCCTTCTGCTTCAGCTTTCGTAGTAGCTAGAACTACAGGCACGTGCCACCATGCCTGGTTAATTTTTTATTTTAATTTGTCGTAGAGACAAGATCTCGCCAAGTTGCCCAGGGTGGTCTTGTACCCCTGGGCTCAGGCAATTATCTCGCCTTTGCCTCCCAAAGTGCTGGGATTACAGGTGTGAGCCACTGCACCCGGCCTATAAAAATCTTGTGTTGCGGTGGCTCAAGCCTATAATCCCAGCACTTTGGGAAGCAAAGGTGAGAGGACTGCCTGAGCCCAGGGGTTAGAGACCAGTCTGGGCAACTTGGCAAGACCTCATCTCTTCAATTAAAAGAAAAAATTAGCCAGGTATGGTGGTGCATGCCTGTAGTTCCAGATACTTGGAAGGCTGAGGTGGAAGGATTGCAACTGCACTCCAGCCTGGGTGACAAAGTGAGACTCCAGCTCAAAAAAAAAACTTAAGCGTTGTGTTTGCTTACTTGGTGAAATCTCATCTCTACAAAAAAAAAAAAAAAAAAAAAAAAAAAAAAAACAGGCATGGTGGCGCGTGCCTGTAGTTCAAGCTACTTGGGGGCTGAGGCAGAAGGATCGCCTGAGCCCAGCAGGTCGAGGCTGCGGTGGCCGGGAGCAAGCCATTGCCCTCCAGCCTGGGTGACAGAGTGAGACTCCAACTCAAAAAAAAAGAGTTGTTGACATAGATCTGGGCTAAGCTTATGTAGGAATTTTTCCTTGATTCCTGGCTTGTTGTTTTTTTTTTTTGAGTCGGAGTCTTACTCTGTCGCCTAGATTAGAGTGCAGTGGCACTCTCACAGCCACTGCAGCCTCAACCTGTCTGGGCTCAGGTGATCCTTCTGCTTCATCCCTCCAAGTAGGTGGAACCACAGGTGTGTGCTATCATGCCCAGCTAATTTTTTGATTTATTATAGAGATGAGGTCTCACCAAGTTACCCAGGCTAGTCTTGAACTCCTGGGCTTCCACCTCCCAAAGTCGCTGGGATTATAGGTGTGAGCCACCACACCTGGCTTTTGATCCTTGTTTTTGATAGGAGTGTTCAAAGAATGAAGTAGGTATAAAAGAAGAGACCAATAGTCTCCAGCATCCAATGGAGACATCAATGAGTGTCACTAACTTTAAGAACAAATTCTTCAAAAGTGAAGTCAGAGAGAATTGACATTTAGCTTTCACTATGGGGCCTCCATTCACTGACCACTTTGAGGGATCTTTCAAATAAAATAAGATGAAAAAGTAGTTGGGAGTCTTATCTTTTTGGGTCCTTACTCACCCAATGTTTCCAATGTGATTTTGAATGGTGAAAGGTAATGGTATTGATGGATAGTGGGCTGAGAGAGACAAAGTTATTTGAAACTTTGCAAATGCTGCAGAACTAGAAAATAAAAGTCTCAATCTGTAAAAGACAAGATCCTCAGTTAAAAATACAAAAACAAAAGCAAACACAAATACATTTTCTTTCTACACTGGCATGTCAAACATAGGTGTAAACTACTTCTTGTGCTTAACAAGTGAACAAAAGTAAAACATCTGAAAAAATGTTAGTTTTTTTCATTGTTTTTTCAATATGTCATGAAGGACATCCATACGTTTTTGACTAATTACTATTTTGGGTTGAATTGTATTCCCCCAAAATTCATATGTTCAAGTCCTGAGCCTTAATACCTCAGAATGTGAGCTTATTTAGAAATCATTACAGATATAATTAGTTAAGATGAGGTCCTATTGGAGTAGGGTGGGCCCCTAATCCAATATGAATGGTGTCCTTATAAAAAGGAGAAATTTGGACACAGACATGCACAATGAAAGAATACCATGGGAAAATGAAGACAGATTAGAGTTATGCATTTACAAGCCAAGGAATGCTAAGGATTACCAGCAAATACCAGATATTAGGAGAAAGGCAGGAAACAGATTCTCTCTCACATCCCTCAGAAAGAACGAACTCTGCTGACACCTTGATCTGAAATCTTTAACCTTTAGAACAATGTGACAATAAATTTCTGTACCCAATCTGCAGTACTTTGTTACAGTAGCCCTAGGGAACTAATACACTTACTTAGTATTACTTATATCTATGTTCATTAGGTTATAATTTGGTCCCCATCTCTTTAAAAACTCAATCTCTTCTCCAAGGAGTCTGCAATGGTTCACTACCACTGAGAGTTCTTGAAGCATCTAGAAAAAAATTTGATAAAATTATGAAAAACATTTGAATGATCAGTGGTTCTTTTATAAAGAACCCCAAAATATTAAAGCAATTAAATATATTTATCATTTCAGGATCCACTATTATATATGTAAAATTTCAGTTCTGATGATAACATAAATTTTCCTTTAAATACTTTATTTAGACTTTACCTTGGACACCTGATGCTGTGTTGTACATTTCTTTTTCCAGGATTCCTGTTCCTCGATGTACTGGAAAATAAGCTTGTGAACTAAAAGGGAGGAAGGAGGAGCTTTATCCTCTGGGGAAGGAAAAAGATAATTAAAAACGGGGGATTACTTATTATTCATGTATTTTATATAAGCAAAAAATTCTATATTATATAAACTAGATACGCTCAAACTACGAAGTACATAAATATTCTCTCCATTTTTCTTTTCTTTTTTTTTTTTTGAGTCGGAGTCTCACTCTGTCGCCCAGACTGGAGTGCAGTGGCCGCTCCCGGCCACCACAGCCTCGACCTGCTGGGATCCGGTGATCCTTCTGCCTCAGCCTTCCGAGTAGCTGGCATTACAGGCGTGCGCTACCACGTCCAGCTAATTTTTTTGATTTATTAGAGATGAGGTCTCGCTGCCCAGGCAGGTCTCGAACCCGTGGGCTCAGGCAATCCACTCACCTCAGCTTCCCAAAGGCGCGGGATTACAGGCTGAGCCACCGAGCCCGGCCATTTTTATTTTCAAACACAATAACATACATGGCGAACATAAGACATTCCTACAAAAACTCAAGCCTTTATCACGTACAGAATAGTACTTGGTTAGGAACATGGGTTTAGATGTAATATAACCTGAGTTTAAATCCTGGCTTTCTTTAATACTAAGTGATCCTAAGCAAAACATTTAATTTTTTAAATCTGTAGTTTCCTAATTTGTAAAACGAGGAATAAATAATACCTATCTCATAGTATTCATGTAATACGTAGCCTAATACAGACTAAGTACTCCATTTTTTATCCCTCATCCTGGATTCCAGAGGCAAGTAATAATAATTTTAAAAATAATTTCTTTTGAAACCTAGCTATGGGCTAAGCACAGCGGCTCATGACTATAATTCTAGCACATTGGGAGGCCGAGGTAGGAGGATTGCTTGAGGACAGAACTTTGAGATCAGCCTGGGCAATATAGCGAGACCCCATCTCTATAAAGCAAAATAACAACAAAAATACTCCCCCAAAATCCTACCTACATTTGGAACATTACTCAAACAGTTTCATGAATAATGATAATTATTGTTTCTATTTAACCTGGTATGTGAAAGAGTCCTCAAGAGCAATTTATACATGTCAATCCCCAAAAACTTTTGGAGATTTAAATGTTTTGAACTTACCATCTAACAGAGATTGAAAATTCATGTCAACAATCTTCCTCTGAGGCTTGTCCAGGAAAGGGAGACTAACTAAGAAGAACAAGAGTAAGAACAGTGTTGTGTTTTTACTATCTGACTTTAAGCCACATAAATCAAACTCAGTACTTTAGAATCCTACTCCTTCTGGGTAGCAGATTTTTTTCATAGCCTGCTGAAGGTATATCCTTAAATAAAATTATTCTTTGTATATGGTAAAGACTCCTGTGAGACTGTTCAACTACATTGACTGGTAGGCCTTTGAAGAAAATTTAAAATGTTACACACAGCTATATTTGTTGTTTTTTTTAACCCCCCTCCCCAGCTATATTTGTTAAGGTGACCTCCTTTAACCCCTAACTTCTGTGTAAAAATAATTTTATCTTCAGGAATAATTTAAAGAAAGTGGCTATGACCTCACCATACCTACCATCTTTGCAACAAATGCAGTAAAAATGATTTATGCTTTTGCCAGCCGGGGCACTCATACCTGTAATCCCAGCACTTTGGTAGGGTGAGGCAGGAGGACTGCTTTGTTTTTGAGTAGGAGTCGCACTCTACTCAAGCCATGAGAGTCACCCAGGCTGGAGTGCAGTGGCACACTCATGGCCACCATAGCCTCGACCTGCTGGGCTCAGGCGATCCTTCCATGTCAGCCTTCCAAGTAGCTGGAACCACAGATGCACACCACAACACTCGGCTAACTTTTTGATTTATCATAGAGATGAGGTCTCGCCAAGTTGCCCAGGCTGGGTCTCAAACCCATGGACTCAGGCAATCCTTTCGCCTCCACCTCCCAAAGTGTTGGGATTACAGGTGTGAGCCACCACGTCTGGCAGGAGGACTGCTTGAGGCCAGAAATTCAAGACCAGACTGGATAAGATAGTGAGAACCTATCTCTAAAAAAGTTAAAAATTTAGCCAGGATGGTGGAATGCGACTGTACTCCCAGCTACACAGGAGGCTAAGGTGGAAGGATCCCTTGAGCCCAAGAGTTGGAGGCTGTAGTGAGCCGTGATTGTGCCACTGCACTCCAGCCTGGGTAAGAGAGCAAAACCCCAACTCTAAACATAACAAAACAAGATTTATGCTTTCAGCATTGCTGTAATAAGTTTTAGGTTGTTAGGATAACTGCTTGCTCCTTTAGGCTCTAGAGTTATCTTCTCTCTCTCAAATCCTGATTCTTTTTTCTTTGTTGAGTGCTTTGTTAAATATTTTCTATGTGCTAGGCTTTGTGGATATGATAATGAGAAAAACAGACATGATACAAGAAACTTATAACTCAGGGGGACAAACAGATAACTGAACTAATAAATACAATGAGAACTATAAACTGTGATGAGCATGACTAGGGAGAACTGCAGGAAGTAATGAGAACATATAACAGGTGGACAAGTGGTAGAGGGAGAGGGGCAAGTAAAAGGAGAACCAGGAAAAACTTTCCTGAGAAAGTGATAACTGAACTGATCTCTTAAGGATTACTAGCAGGAATTTATTAATTAAGAGTGAGGAAAGAACTCCTAGGTATAAGAAACATCAGTATTAAGATCTTAAGGTAGGATGGAATACAACTAAGCATGAACAATCATGGCCATTTAAGGAACTAAAAAGTTCATTGTGGCCAACATGCAGAGAATAGGTAGAAAAGTAGTATAAGACAAGGCAGGAAAAGGAGAAGAATTCAATTCATGAAAGGCCATATCAAATATTTTGATCTGGCTGGGCAAGGTGGCTCACACTTTGGGAGGCTGAGATTAGAGGGTTGCCTGAGTCCAAGGGTTCGAGACTAGCTTGGGAAACTTGGTGAGACCTCATCACTACAATTAAAAAAAAAATTAGCTGGGCATGGTGGCACGTGCCTGTAGTACCAGCTACTTGGAAGGCTGAAGCGGAAGGATCACCTGAGCCCAGCAGGTCAAGGCTGCGGTGGCTGTGTGTATGCCACTGCATTCCTGCCTGGGTGACAGAGTAAGACTCCAACTCAAAAAAAAAAAAAAAAATTTCCATCATTAGTCTAAGAATAGTGGTGCATGATCACATTTTCAATAATCACTACAGCTACAGGAAGAGACTGAATTAGAGAGAAAAAGGAGAAGATCCAAAAAAACCCCAGTAGAAATGTTATTGCAGTCTTCTGGGTTAGAGATGACAAATCACAGAAGAGATGGAAAACAGTAGACAAATATTAAAAAATTAAAATCAGTGTGTCTTGGCCAGGTGCAGTGGCTCATGCCTGTAATCCCAGCACTTTGGGGGCCAAGGTGAGATCACTTAAGGCCAGCAGTCCTAGACTAGCCTGGACAATGTAGCAAAACCTTGTCTCTACAAAAAAAAATTTTTTTTAATTAGCTGATCATGGTGATATGTACCTGTAGTCCCAGCTACTCAGGAAGCTGAGGCGGAAGGATTGCCTGAGCCCAGGAGGTCGAGGGTGTGGTGAGCCATGAGTGTGCTACTGTACTCTAATGACAGAGATCCTGACTACAAAAAAAAAAAAAAATCAGTACGCCTTACTGATGATTTGAATACATACAGTGAGGAAGAGGGATGTAGAGTGATTCCTAAGAGTTAATTTTGGACCTGAATAGAAAGTGATGCTATTCATTGAGAAAATGAACTTTTAAAGAGAATTAGGTTTAAGGCTGGGAAACTGAAGATCCTAAGTTCCAATATGGTCATATTTGCCCCTGGTTGGCCATGTAGAAGCTGACTGGTTAAAGAGAAAAGACCTAAAGTACGAACAATTAAGAAATTCCAACAAAACAGCTGGGATTCTGTCCAGTTGCCATACAGTGATTTCACCTTTTAGGTGATAAGCTCACATATTCACATGGAACTTCCAACTAGCTTTTTAGGGACTTACTCTTAAGTACAGAAAAAAAAAACAGTCAAAAAAACTAGCCATTAGAGTAAATTCCCTATCACAAAAGACAGATGAAAAATAAAAAACTCAGAATAGACATGAATATCATATTTAGTCATTCTTTGGGTAAGCAAATTTTGGCATTCAACAAAGGGCAACTTTTACTACCTGCATTTTTATTGTTCTTTATCTAATAAAATTCTATTATCACTAAAGTGATGAACTCTTCTAAGATTTTCAGCAATGCTGTCATTGTGTCAATTGTTATTATTATAGTAAAATAAGATTTGAATCTTTAGTGAATTTAACCATTCATTTTTGTACAAAAATAATCTAAACTAAACTATCTCACTTTGGCTACTCACCTACTGATTCTCCAAAGATGATGGTGAGTTCTATTGTGTCATATACAAAGGTGAATACAGCTTGATCATCACTCCACTCAATGATATCCCATTCAGACAAGCTGATGAAAAGTAAACAAGCTATAAAAACTTTTTTGAGACAAAAGATACCACCCAAAGACTACCAACAGCCGCTGCTGATTTTATTCCACTGCATTAAGAGATAATATTTCAATTCAAATATTGTGAATGTACAAACGTCTGCTTTTGAAAGCAATAGGAACTCATCTTGAGTTGTATATTGAAGAAAAACCAAGTCTATGCAATAAAAAGTGTTAAATAATTAAAAATAATTCCACAGTTCTCCTACCCTGTATATTTTCATCTTACTGTTGAGTACACCAAATCTTTTTGAGGCTACACTGTACTACAGGTTAAAAACAACACATTAAAAACATATCAACTGCACCAGCAGGTTCTGTCAACTACTAATGTACGGGATCAAACACAAACGAATGACATCTCCTTTTCCTTACCTCAATTGATCCAGTAGCTCTTCAGTGTTTTTTGTTTGCTTTTGTATAAATTCTATTTGAGCAAGGGTCTGTTCTTTTTGTACCCCCAGTTCTAAAAGATTACTGCAAATAAAAGCAGGTATTCAGACAGATAAGACTTTTGTTAGAGAATTCAGACTCTATTAATATAAAACACCACAAGAAGTCACACACTAGATAGCTCCTTATTGAGGTAATAACACAGGTGTATTCTGCATTCTTCATTTAGTTTTGTTTTTTTGATAAGCATTAATCTAGAAGTGGGTAAATTTAGGAAAGGCATAAACCACAATCTCTTAAATTAGGATCCATGAAGATATCCTTGGGGTTTACATGTTAGTTATTAAAGATTACATTTTTGTTTAAAAACATTTTAAAACATTTTTTTAAGAGATAAGATCTTGGGCCGGGTGCTGTGGTTCATGCCTGTAATCCCAGCATTTTGGAAGGCTGAGGCAAGAGGACTGCCAGAGCCCACGGGTTCGAAACCAGCATGGGCAACATGACGAGACCTCACCTCTACAATAAATAAATAAATTTGCCAGGCATGGTGGTGTGTGCCTGTAGTTCCAGCTACATGGAAAGCTGAGGTGGAAGGATCGCCTGAGCTCAGCAGGTAGAGGCTGCGGTGGCCGTGAACGTGCCACTGCACTCCAGTCTGGGTGACAGAATAAGACTCCGAATCAAAAAAAAAAAAAAGAGAAGAGATAAAATCTTGCGCTGTTGCCCAAGCTTGAGTACAGTGTTGCAATAATAATTCACTGCAGCCTTGAACTCCAGGCCTCAAGTGATTCTCCTGCCTCAGCCTCCCAAGTAGCTCAGACTACCGGCATGAGCTATCACACTTGACTAATTTTTTGTAGAGGCAGGGTCTCACTATGTCTCCCAGGCTGGTCTCAAACTCCTGGGCCCAAGTGATCCCTCCACCTCGACTGGAATTATAGCCACAAACCACCGTACCCACATTTTATTTATTTATTTATAATTAGGGTTTCACACTGTTGCCCAGGCTGGAGTGTAGTGGCACGATCACGGCTCACAGCAGCCTTAACCTCTCAGGTTCAGGTGATCCTCCCACCTCAGCCTCCCAAGTAGCTGGGACTATAGGCATGTGCTACCACACCTGGTTAATTTTTTGAATAAGAGAGGTTTTGCTATGCTGCCTAGGCTGGTCTTAAACTCCTGAGCACAAGCAAATTCTCCCGCCTCAGCCTCCCAAAGTGCTGGGATTACAAGTGTGAGCAACTGCACCTGGTCTCATATTTTCATTTCTTATAATAAAAAAACAAAAATATAAGCATAACGTAGAGTACAAGGATGCTCACCTTAAAACTGAGACATGCCATAACTTTGTTGCCCATATTTAGTTGTTTTTAGTTTGTTAGAGCTAAATAGGACTTATACATTAAGTCACTTTGATAATATCAATTTAATTTCAGCCAAACATTATTACCTGTCAAATTAATGTCACCAACTGAAATTTTATTTGTTTTGTCATTATTTGTATTTATGTTCTTTTGGTCTTATAGTTGAATAAGATTCATAAACCTAAGAAATATATATCTCATTTTATACTTATTTAAGTACAATATAAAATCTGTTTGATGCTAGGTTTATTTTCTTTAAAAGAATACTGATAGTGCTCAAGCTTGAGTAATACTGTTTTGGATTAATGCCCTGCAAACAATTAAGTGCTTAGAAAAATATTGTTGTCTAAGCTGGCCTCTAGGGTCCAATTCAAAGTGAAGTTGAAGCCCTGAGTCAAACATAGTAAAGATTCACGTCTCAGTCCTCTGTTTCTGGAGGCAGAAAGTCATTTAGTCTTCTGGGGTTTGGCATTATGTTTTCTAACACTCAAACTGAAGGCTGACCTTTGAAGCTCCTCTTCTTCAGATTTCAGCTGTTCTAATTCTTTGTAAACAAAAAACAAAAACCAGAACAGACACATTAGAATGTTGCCACAAAAAAATCATCTGTTTTATTAAAAAGTCTGACTTAGTTTCACCTAAATATATAAACAAACTCAGAACAGAAGCCATTTATCTCCTTAACTAATTCAGTTACCTTTCTCTGCAGCACTCATTCCAGAATCCCATTCTTCCACAGGATTGTCTTTTTCTTCATTCTCCAAATTCTTAGTTTCTATAAAGTGCACAATATGCATTAGAATAATTCAGTAAAAAATAATTTATTAAACAATCAGAGAGGGTTTATTTTAGTAGTAGGAAGTTTAGAAATTACAGCCTGATGGCTTTGATTTTTTTCTGTGAAGTAGAAAGTAAGGTAATGGCCGGGCTCGGTGGCTCAGCCTGTAATCCCGCACCTTTGGGAGGCTGAGGTGAGTGGATTGCCTGAGCCCGCGGGTTCGAGACCTGCCTGGGCAACTTGGCAAGATCTCATCTCTACAATAAATCAAAAAATCAGCCGGGCATGGTAGCGCATGCCTGTAATTCCGGCTACTTGGAAGGCTGAGGCGGAAGGATCGCCGCAGCCCAGCAGATCGAGGCTGCGGTGGCTGGGAGCGGCCACTGCACTCCAGTCTGGGCGACAGAGTGAGACGCCCTCTCAAAAAAAAAAAAAAAAAAGTAAGGTAATGAACAAAGGGGTGAGACAGAAATAAACTATGGAATTCATATACTCATTGTTATTTCAATGCAAAAAACTTAATTTGTGCAAAGCATGAAACTAAGAACTTTGAAGGATGTGGAGAAAATAAGAGCTAATCTTTACCTCCATGGAGTTTAAAAATTTAAATCGGAAAATAAACTGTATAAAATAACTATACTACAAGTAGATGTGATAAGTACTAAAAAAAAAAAATAACCACAGGAGCTCAAAGAATATAGAGACTACTTCCTTTGGTGGAAAACAGAATACATTAGTAAAGATAAAAGTAGAAGACTTGAATAGAAATGGTAAAATTTGGTTGGAATTTAACATGGGTAAATGAATAGCAGCAAATTATTTAAGAAAGGATGATGTGAATATGATTGCAGTGAATATTAAATGTCAAGCTCAGAAGTTTGAAATTTATTTTGAAATAAATGGAAAGACTGAAGTTTTTCAGGTGAGTAACAATATAAAAACTGTCCTTCATAATTATTAATCTGGCAGGAATGTGAAGGTTGGCCTGGAAGGAGATAAAATGAGAGTAAAGCAGAATGATTAGTTAGAAGACTTGAAAAAGCAAATTTCAGAGTTAAGGAGAGTCTTTCTTTTTTTTTTTAGGAGTAAATTAATTTTGTTGTTGTTGTTTTTGAGAATCTTAATAGAAAAGGGGAAAAAACTACACCAGATGCTGAAGAAGCAGATAAAACAGAACTTGTTAAGAGAATACCAAAGACAATGAAAGTTTTGAGTCTTTTACAACATATAAGAATTGTGGGCTCGGTGGCTCAGCCTGTAATCCTGCGCCTTTGGGAGGCTGAGGTGAGTGGATTGCCTGAGCCTGCGGGTTCAAGACCCACCTGGGCAGCGAGATCTCATCTCTACAATAAATCAAAAAATCAGCCGGGCGTGGTAACGCATGTCTGTAATTCTGGCTACTCGGAAAGCCAAGGCAGAAGGATCGCCGGAGCCCAGCAGGCGAGGCTGCGGAGGCCGGGAGCGGCCACTGCACTCCAGTTTGGGCGACTGAGTAAGACTCCAACTCAAAAAAAAAAAAAAGAATTGTGATGCCATTAACAGAGATGAAAAACATCAGAGTGAGAACAAATTTTTTATTGTTTTGGAGATGGGAGAAGGTAATAAAAATGATTATAAGCTACTTAAGGGAAAAATCTTTATCTTAAATATCTTCATTTTTTTTTCTGATGCTAAGCACAGTTTCTGGCATGCAGTAGGTGCTCAAAAAATGCGTGATGAATTTAACTCAATTTGAGGATCAGTCACATAAACATAATTATTAAGGCGGATGAAAGCATTGAGGGAGAAAATACAGAAAAGCACAGATGATAAAATCTAAATCTTCCATAATGGGCTAATTAGAGAAAGAGAGGCTGACAGAAGAATAAAAGAACAGCCAGTAGAAAAGAACTAGATCAAGTTAGTGCAATATCATAGGGGCTAAGGGAGATTAAAGTTTCAGGAAAAAAAGAACAACCATCAGCATAAAATGTTCAAAGAGGTCAAGATGGCTAAAGTCTGAGAGGAATCAAATGTGATGATTATGAGGAATTACATGATCTTTGAGAAGGAGCTTCAGGAGAACAATACTAACAAGTTGAAATTACAAAAGGCCAAACTGTAAGGATAGAAATTTTTTTTTTGAGTTGGAGTCTCACTCTGTTACCCAGGTTGGCGTGCAGTGGCATGCTCATGGCTACCGCAGACTCAACCTGCTGAGCTCAGGTGATCCTTCTGCCTCAATCTTCCGAGTAGCTAGAACTACAGGTGCATACTACCATGCCCGGTTATGTATGTATGTATGCATGCATATATGAATTTATTTATTTATTTTAGAGATATGGTCTTGTCAAGTTGTCCAGGGTGGTCTTGAACCCTTAGTCTCAGGCAATCCTCTCACTTCGGCCTCCCAAAGTGCTGAGATTACAGGTGTGAGTCACTGAGCTTGGCCTGACAGTTTTCAAACAGAGATAAATGCATCTACTAAAAAACATAAGATTATGTGCCAGGTGCAGTGGCTGACACCTATAATGCCAGAACTTTGGGAGACCAAGGCAGGAGGATCACTTAAGTCCATGCGTTTGAGATCAGCCTGGGCAACAAAGCAAGACCTCATCTCTGTTAAAAAAACAGAAAAATTAGTCAGGTATGGTGGCATGCACCTTGAGAGGTTAAGGTCGGAAAATTGCTTGAACCCAGGAGGCTAAGGCTGTGGTAAGCCATGAAGCCATGATTGTGCCACTGCACTCCAGCCTGGGTGACAGAGTAAAACCCTATCTCAATTTAAACAATTATGATCTGGTAGGCTTGGTGGCTCAGCCTGTCATCCCAGCACTTTGGGAGGCTGAGGTGAGTGGATTGCCTGAGCCCACAGGTTTGAGACCCACCTGGGCAACTTGGTGAGACCTCATCTCCACAATAAATCAAAACAATTAGTCAGGCATAGTAGTGCATGCCTGAAGTTCCGGCTACTTGGAAGGCTGAGGTGGAAGGATCGCCTGAGTCCAGCAGGTCGAGACTGCAGTGGCCAGAAGCCACTGCACTCCAGTCTGGGCGACAGAGTCAACTCAAAAAAAAAAAAAATTATTATCTAGGTTATCTTAGTCATCTGTTGTTGATTTTATTATGGATGACCACAATAAAGGAGCTTTAGTTTGCTCTAATTTAATGCCTCAAGTTGCTAATACATGTCTTCAAAATAGTCAATCTCTACAGTAGGAAGGCATTTAGATAAAATTTCCTTTAAAAAAGTATTTAAAATACTTTACCTATTTCCACTTCAGTGAGACAATTATTGATCTTCTTAAGTATGTTGTCCATCTCAACTACCTTTATCTGAAGTTTCTCCTTCTCATTCTAAACACAAAATATTATACTGTGAAACCTCCAAACAAAATATTATAAATGTTTTGAACTGTTCGTAACTGTTAGATCTTACTCATGAATAGGCAAATATAAAATGAAGGTCAAAACTTCAAATCTGAACTTGAAAATAATTAAAATAAGCTAATTTTATAAATTTGTTTATTAAAATAGTTTATTAAAATAAAATTAAATATGCAAAAATCAGATTAACATATATTCATTTTTGTACTTTCCTTTAATCTAACATTTCTATATGCATACCATGGAATATAGGATATTAATATTTATTATGTAAAAAATTGTATGTATTTATTATGTAAAAAATATTTATCATCTTAAAAGTATTATATGATCAAATAAACATGGGAAACTGATCAAATAGAATTATAGAATTTTTTTATTTTTAGACCTAAATAAAGATTTACAGGTCGGGCCTGGTGGCTTAGCCAGTAATCTCAGCACTTTGATAGGCAGAGGCGAGTGGATTGCCTGAGCCCACAAGTTTGAGACCCACCTGGGCAACTTGGCGAGACCTTGTCTCTACAATAAATCAAATATTAGCCGGGCATGGTAGCGCATGCCTATAGTTCTGGCTACTTGGAAGACTGAGGTGGAAGGATCACTGGATCCCAGCAGGTCGAGATTGCGGTGGCCGGGAGTGTGCCACTGCACTGCAGTCTGGGCGACACAGTGTGGCTCCAGCTCAAAAAAAAAAAAAAGATTTACAGTTCTCCAAAAGGTGAAATTGTACACAACATTTCCCATACTTATTTGCCAATGGAAAGTTTTTTTATGCTGAGCCTTTTTAAAAGAATGACCATTTTGGGAAATGCTACTTTAAACACATACACAAACATATATAGCTTGGTATAAACTATGAAGAGAATAATGCTATGGTACAGTCCTTAGCAATGGGAGATTAGAATCCTATATATATTATTTCAATATGTATAATGCATAACAATATTTGAGATGAGACATAGGCCCATATTAGTAACTATATCCCAATATTACTCAAGATGCCAGGATTTGCCACTTGTGACAAATTGAACCTTATTTCTTATAAACAATTTTAAGTTTTTGCCCAAGAGTCATTCACAGGTCTCTCTTTTTTTTTTTTGAGTCAGAGTCTCACTCTGTCACCCAGGCTGGAGTACACTGGCACTCAGAGACACTGTAGCCTCGAACTGCTGGGCTCAGGGGATCCTTCCACCTCAGTCTTCCAAGTAGCTGGAACCACAGGCATGTGCCACCATGCCTGGATAATTTTTTGATTTATTGTAGAGATGAAGTCCCACCAAGTTTCCCAGGCTGGTCTTGAACTCCTTGGGCTCAGGCAATCCTCTCGCCTCAGTCTCCCAAAGGGCTAGGATTATAGGCATGAGCCACCACGCCCAGCTAACATGTGTCTTAAAGAACATTCTTCATATTCCACAACCACTATAAAGTAATTTTAATATTTCTTTCTCTGATGTTAACTGTCTCAAATTACCTGAGCTGACTGCACCAGCTTGCCATAAAGAGTCACTTTTCCTTGATGAATGAAGACTTTAGTCATCTTGGTAAAACGTGACTTAATTTTGTTCAGGTAAATTCCAAAGGCTTTCAGCTGTAAGGGAGAATTAAAGAGTATACTGCACTGAAACAAATGAGTCAGAAAAGGTAAGTGGCTGGAAAGGCTGGTTCAGCTGCCACTTGCTGAGTTTTACCCATCCTACATTCTGGTTCCTAAGGCAGGAGAAGACTTTTCAATTGCAAATTAAACTTCATATAATTTTTAAATATCAGAACCAAAGACTTCAGTTTTGATTCCTGTCTTTAATACACTTTTTTCATATTATGAATTAGAAAATGACAGTATCTTAGTTAATAAACTATTTTAGTATATTAGGGCACATATAAAATGGGTCAATTAATCAATTAAAGTAAATATTTTCCTCATGTAAATCTAAGTGAAAGGCAAATGGGAAGGAGAGAACTCTAAATAAACTTCAAATATATTTCATATAATAAATTGATAGTCTCAGGTTTGAAAAGATTTTATAGCAACAATTTTGGTACCACATTATAACTAAAAAATAAGTGAAAGAACTCATCAGCAATGATTAAGTAATAGTTAATCGTTTCACAATAAACAATGTTCAAAATGTCTGTACAGATTTCAGAAAATGAGACAATAGTACCTCTTCATCAGAGTAGTGCCTCATTTTTTCCCACAGGTTCTTATTTATATCAGCCAACAGTTTATCTTGGTTCAATGCAGAAAGCTTTAATCTAAAACACAGAAAAGTTAAGGTTCAGAGGCTAGCTTGAATAAACCAGCTCAGATCAACAGATGTACTTTTTCTACATGAAAAGAGGGGAATTCACTTAAGAAAAGTGGCTAGCCTGATTATTCACTCAAAAAACAGCAGTTCAGCCGGGCTCAGTGGCTCAGCCTGTAATCCCACACCTTGGGAGGCTGAGGTGAGTGGATTGCTTGAGCCCGCGGGTTCGAGACCTGCCTGGGCAACTTGGTGAGACCTCATCTCTACAATAAATAAAAAAAAAAATTAGCCGGGTGTGGTAGCATGTGTCTGTAGTTCCAGCTACTTAGAAGGCTGAGGCGGAAGAATCTCTGGAGCCCAGCAGTTAGAGGCTGTGGTGGCCAGGAGCGGCCACTGCATTCCAGTCTGGGCAACAGAGTGAGACTCCAACTCAAAAAAAAAAAAAAAAGAAAAGCCGGGCTCGGTGGCTCAGCCTGTAATACTGTGCCTTTGGGAGGCTGAGGTGAGTGGATTGTCTGAGCCCACGGGTTCGAGACCCACCTGGGCAGCGAAACCTCATCTCTACAATAAATCAAAAAATCAGCCGGGCACGGTAGCGCATGCCTGTAATTCCGGCTACTTGGAAGGCTGAGGCAGAAGGATCACTGGAGCCCAGCAGGCGAGGCTGCGGTGGCCGGGAGTGGCCACTGCACTCCAGTCTGGGCGACTGAGTAAGACTCCAACTCAAAAAAAAAAAAAAAAAAAAGCAGTTCAAGAATGTCATAAATCAAAGAAACTTACAGAATTCTCATCTCACTGTATCAACTGATTCCAACAAGAAAAAAATAACTGCTATGAAGTTGTAGTTATTACTTTAATAAAAGTTCCCAATTCAGTTCAAAGGCATATTTCACCCTTATAGAATATCATTTATAAAAGTAGCAAAGCTATTATAATCTTATTATTAGTCTCTTGTTCATCAGTTGAGGAAATAAATTTCTATCTGAGTCAGAAGATATATTCAGGCAAGACAGGTGCAAAGTTAAAAAATAGATCATATCTAAACATACTGCTCATTTGAGTGAAAGATCCCACTTCAAAATAAAACATTCTCAGACAAATCTTGAGATAACCAATTCTTTTTTTTTTTTTTAGAGTCAGAGTCTTACTCTGTCACCCAGGCTGGAGTGCGGGGGTATGCTCATGGCCACTGCAGCCTCAACATGCTGGACTCAAGTAATCCTTCCATCTCAGCCTTCCAAGTAGCTGGAACTATAGGCATGCGCCACCACGTCCAGCTAATTTTTTATTTATTGTAGATACAAGGTCTCACCAAGTTTCCCAGGCTGGTCTTGAACCCCTGGGCTCAGGCAGTCCTCTCACCCCCACCTCCCAAAGTGCTGGGATTACAGGCATGAACCACCAAGCCTGGCTAGAAATCCAACTCTTTTAAATAGCATGAAGATGAGGAACTTGTGCGACTCATTCAGTGATGAACCCCCAGTACTTAGTACACTGCCTGGCATATTTAGGTGAATGAAAAAACCAGAATCAGGCAAATCTGAAGTACTATAGTTGGACAGTATCTTAAATTTCTACTTTTAAAACTATGCAATCCTTACAGATTTTGTTTGTTAGATTTGTTCAAATTAAGTTGAACAGGATAAGTATGACATAAACATTATCTTGAGTTGCAAATTCTGATTTACCTGATTTACCAAATTAGATATACCTAATTTATAAATCAATCTATAGTATTTACATATACCAAAGCAATGAGCTATCCTCTAAATAAAACTATGCTGTTATATATGCAAATCAAGAGCAAACGTGACAATTATAAACCAAAAGGCAATCTGATTCCAGGCACTATACGAAAAGTTGAGTGTTCCTTATCTGAAATGCTTGGGAACAGAAGTGTTTCGGATTTCAATTTTTTTTTTTTGATTTTGGAGTATTTGAATATACCGTAATGAGATATCTTGAGGGATGGGGCCCAAGTCTAAACATGAAATTCATTTATGACCTGCTGGGCTCCGGCGATCCTTCTACCTCAGCCTTCCAAGTAGTCGAAACTACAGGCACACGCTACCACGCCCAGCTATTTTTAAAATTTACTGTAGAGATGAGGTCTCACCAAGTTGTCCAGGCAGGTCTTGAACCCGAGGACTCAGACAATCCACTTGCCTCGGCTTCCCAAAGTGCTGGGATTACAGACTGAGCCACCAAGCCCGGCCATTTATGTTTTATATATAGTGTATATACATACCCTGAAGGTAATTTTATAGAATATTTTAAATGATTTTGTACATGAAACAAATCATGTATTTATGTGTGAAATTTTCCACTTGTGGCATCATATCAGTGCTCAAAAAGTGTTGAATTTTGGAGCATTTTAGATTTCCAATTTTTAGATTCAGAATATTCAACCTGTATAAACCTCTAAAGGGTACCATCTTCTTCTGAAAATGTTATCTGACAATCAGATTATGATAGCATAATCTAATAATTACCATTTATTTTTATTGAGGACCTACTTTTCCAAAATAAAATATAAAAACATTTTCTTTTTTTTTTTTTTGAGTTGGAGTTTCACTCTGTCACCCAGACTGGAGTGCAATGGCCGCTCCTGGCCACCGCAGCCTCAACCTGCTGGGCTCCAGCAATCCTTCTGCCTCAGCCGTCCAGGTAGCTGGAACTACAGGCGTGCACTACCACGCCCGGCTCATTTTGATTTATTGTAGAGATGAGGTCTCGCCAAGTTGCCCAGGCGGGTCTCAAACCCGCGGGCTCAGGCAATCCACTCACCTCAGCCTCCCAAAGGCAGGGGATTACAGGCTGAGCCACCGAGCCCGGCTAAAACATTTTCTATAAGCTACTTCTACTGGCAGAGTAGGTCTTATTATCTTCTTCACTTTATGCATGTGGAAACAAAAGTTAAATGACTTGCCCAAGGTTATATAGCTAGTGTTACAGCCAGGACTGAGCTTCAATCTGTCTGACTACAAAACTCTTTTACCTATATCACACAACGAATTAATGCCATCAATTTTTTTCCCTACTGGTGTTATTCTAATCAAAACCTTACCACACAGACTATTTACTGATTTTTAAAAAATGAACACACAATGATTAAAGCTTTCATACTCTTCAATCTTTTGGCGACGAGTCTCACAGTCTTCTCTGTAAATCTGTATCTTGGGTCGGTAAACATACTGACTTAACATCAGGTCTTCTGGAGTAGGTGGTGTATTTACAGTAAACTGAAACAAACAAACAAACAAAAAAATCAGTCCCTCAAACTAGTACCTTTTTTTTTTTTTTTTTTTTAGTCAGAGTCTCACTCTGTCACGAAGGCTGGAGTACAGTGGAATGATCATGGCTACTGCAGCCTCGACCTGCTGGGCTCAGATGATTCTTCCACCTCAGCATCCTGAGTATTTGGGATTACAGGCACAAGCCACCATGGCTGGATAATTTTTTGATTTATTGTAGAGACAAAGTCTAGCCAAGTTGCCCGGGCTGGTCTCAAACTCCTGGGCTCAGGCAATCCAGTTGCCTCTACATTCCAAAGTGCTGCAATTACAGGTGTGAGCAACTGTGCCCAGCAATATCTTAAGGATAAAATCATGTATAAGAACTAATTCAAGCCGGGCTCGGTGGCTCAGCCTGTAATCCCAGCACTTTGGGAGGCTGAGGTGAG